CTCAAACACATATCAATCCTACCTTCTGATTAAACACTCATATGCTTTATTACATCAGACTCCAAGTTGTCCAGAGCTCAGATTCACTTTTAAATAAATGGCCAAGAACACCAATTAGGAACGAACATTGGAAATTACCAGAAGCTGCTTAGTTAAAACAACAGCAACAAGTTTTTCTAACACTTTACAGATTACCCACCTTTTAATTCCAGCCATATATCTGTGCTTGCATGTGTGAAAGCACATCTCTGACCCCTTACATTTTGTCCTGAAGGCAACATCACCCAAGAAAATGGTGGTAGTTATGTTGGCATGGCCATTTTGGTGAATGAGATAAAGGTCACTGTGCACCAGCTGAATTCCAGAGCTATGTTAAATCCTACTGAAATGTGCCCAGATAATAAGATCTGTTCATATACATTTCTTTTTTGCAGTTGCATTCAGTGTAATTTATTGCCACATCCTTCACTGTCAACTAAAGGTTTATTTTCTTTATTGGTAGCTTTGTCCTACTTTCTGAGGGTGTAACTTTTGTCTTTGCAAGACATGAGTGACTTAGTCTACTATTCAACAGAAGAGAGTTTATGGCAGAGTTCTCTGGACTCTTCCATTGTCTCCTAAAACCAGTGGTGGAGAGTTATGTATCAACAAACACATGGTTGGAAAGCCTGTGAAAAGAGTTCCTTCTGTTCTACTGCCTTGCTGAAAATGCCCTTCAGACAAACAGCCTAGAGGAAAACTCACTTGTCACAGTTACTCATCATCAGCGTCTACATAATTACCACTCCAGTGAAGATGTATGATATGATATATCCATTGTAGGATGTAGGTCTTGTAGGATCATAGGTCTTGTTTATCTTTTATCCATCCACTACTGACTTAGCTTGGTTTGCTCTGTCTGGTGATATCACTCAGTGATGAAATAATGGAAAAATCGAATAATGTCCACTTTTATTTAACACAGGAAGTTGCCTTTAGCAAAATCAAACCATTGATCTATCAAGTTTAACCTTGTCTCCTGTGGCTGGCAGCAGTGATTGCAAACCTGCTATTTTAGAGTTTGGGAGATGCTAGGCACTGAACCTGAGACAACCAGACAGGAGATTAAAAAAGACTCTCCCACTCAAAGCTGCATCAATGTATCGATCCTGACACATTTCAAGAATCTCTGGATCAGGGAAACTTGGTGAGGCAGAAATGAAAGTCTTAAATGGTTACTAGGAAGTCCTAGACGAAAGAAGTTCCCTTGATTTTCTCAAGACTTATCAGGAAGAATACATTGGTGCATTAGAATACCTGAAACTGAACTGTGGGCTGCTATATGGAAGGCATTTAAAAAACAGGAAAAATAATACCCAGCATAGTTCTCAGTATCCATATAGATTTTAAGAAAATAACATGATTGGTTGATTGTAACCAAAATATTAACTTTCAGACTAAGCCTGGCACATCTGAGAGCAACGGTTGGCCGAGGCTTCCAGCTGTTGGCCAAGGCATCCCCGGCATGTTTTTCCTCAGGTGTTCCAAAAAGAGATAGTTGGCTTGATGTGAAAATGTAGGGACCTCTCTTTGGGTAGCACATGAAGCCATCCTTACATGTTTATTTGTGAAGTTTAAAATATGCCATGCACCCCATTGCAGAGATCTACACTGAAACACCTACGTCCATCGTGATGGGAAAAAATGCACTTTTGCAAGCATCCAACTTGCCTCACCAGTGCCAATCAGTATCATTCCCTCCAGTCCTGAACTTGAGTGAACATATACCCATACAACTGGAAATGAAATAATGTCACCCCAAAACAAGGTAGTGGTCTGCAGACATGGATGTCTTAGTATACAGATATATATTCATAAATTTTAAACAAATATTTTTTCCTAAATAACCCAAGGTGAACCTGCACGGTTCCAGGACCTGTTTCACAATCAGGTTGTCAGTTTTCTGTAAATAAATTAAAATAGGGAGGAATGCATAACAACTTAGCAGCCTGGAGGGGGAAAATGTGCATTATTAGCTTAAAAGCTTTCCTCCCTATAGCATAAGAGAGAATTTCAGGAGAGAGGAAATAAAGTCATTTCCCCCCTTTTCAACTGCCTTGAATTTTCTCCTTTCTTGCTAATATAACACTAAAGGTTTCAGATGTGGGACGGTAAGATGGTGCAAAGACTTTTATTAGTATATCGTGTGTTTGGGGGAGGTTTCAGAAGGGTGGGGAAAAGGTCCATTCTTTCTCCTCATTAACTTCCACACTCCGGGCCAGAAGCAGCTCTACAAGCTTTGTTGTTCCCAACTGCCCAAAATCCTGAAAAGGAGCGCCCCCTTCAGGGGCAGAGGATGCCCTGCACTGACTTATTGCAGCTCCTTCGTTGTTGCTTAAAAGAGTATTTTCATCAAAAAGAAAAAAATAAAAAATAAAAAGACGTGGTAGAAATCTATTATTCTGGAAAAAGTGTGGATAAACAGATATAAAATATCAGGAGTCAGTGCTGTATATACGTTGAATTCTTGCTTTTCCTTGGAGAATGTCTCTGCAAATAAAAGTCCGTATAGTCGTATGAGGCATCTGCAAAGTTTAGAAGACAAGTTATAATGTCCTCCAAAACACAGGCAGTTTAGTCCCATAAAATATCAGCTATTGGGAGCTTTTCTAATGTTGGATCTCTTGCTTACATAGCCCTTTCATTTTTTGTCCCATTCAGATAGACTCAACATGTCTATGGCTGACGATGAATGTTGTTAGATGACCCTGAGTTTGGAGAGAGGGAGGATCAGTTCTCTGTTTCCTCTCTCAATATCACTAATAATTTCCCATTACAAGATTTGATGAATGCTACTGTAAGGTTTGTGGCAGAGGAGCTGGTAGAGTCAAAACCAAACAGAAACTGAGCACTGCCAAACTTGCGTACAGACATTGAAGGAAGAATTATCTATTTGCATGCATTTCTTTGCTCATGGCAAAAGGAAGGGTGGGGGGAGTTATAAGGGGCAGTGGGAGAGAACTCCTTTAGTAAGGAGCATCAGAAGTCATGTGTAGTTTATTGTACAGCCCTGGGGGGTGGAGGAAGGAATGTGGGTTGGGCAAAGTCTAGAATTACACCATTGCAGAATAGTTTTTTCTTCCATGCTTTAAATAGCCAGCACCTTTTTACTATTGCTTTCACGTTTCCCCAGTCAACGAGACCCTGACAGCTCATTTCTTAAGGTAACAACTGAGTTTTGTACTTTCTCCTCTGCTGCCTTCAGCTATATTGTAATCATGAGGTGACAAGTCTGTGTCTGTATTGCTTAACCATTTTTATTTGGTAACAATATCTCTGTGCATCTCTCTCTGACAGCCGCCTCCTATTTTAAAAAAATACGGTTTCTTGTTCCTTCTGATGTATTTGTGTTCAATGTCCAAAGTAGTTTGAGACATAATACTTAGTTTTCATAAGAATCAACACTTGGTTTTCTTCACAAAGAGATCAGGGATTTGATTGAGGGAATGAATGAATCAGAAAATTTGAGTTGGTAGGGCACTATCATTGATTGACCAATGACTGATGCTTTCTTTATCAGTCCTAGCAACACTGCATATTCCCCTAAAGCATGCCTCCGTACAGAGTAGGCTCAAAAGATAATTTCTGACATGTATGGAAGTGGCTTGGGCATGTGGTGCAGCCTCCAAGTGCTCTGGTGCACAGACCACTGCATTATTAAAGGACTCTGCAAACTGGGGTATGGGGAAGGGGAGGAGACCAGCAATGTATGCATCACACAAAGTATAGGGAACATTCCATGAGCCTGACAGCCTTCCATGAGACATTTCCCTAGTAAAAAGACTATGCACTTTCTGTATGATGTAAACACAGACCTTGCAGAATAATTCCAAAATAGAAAGATTTCTTTTGTGTCATTATTAAAATGCCTCAAGAGATTCTTTGTAGTGGCTGGCTGACTGTACCCATTAAATGGATATAACAGGTGTATTCACAACAGATCCTTCATTTGCTAGATCTAACTTTCTCATCGCCCTGCTGCTGTCTTTTAGGTCCTATGTTTAATAAAAGGGCAATGCTTTGGAAAAGACATTATAGTCCTGAGAAAATTTAATTACTCAGTGACCTGATTTGCATGTAATGCTAACCTATGGTTTATTTAACCCATGGATTGTTTAGTTTTTGGTCATCATGATGTGCAAACCCAGTCACACTAACAAATCAGTTTGTTAGTCACAAACATCCCGGAAAGAGAACCCAAAATTTGTTTACATATATAAAAAAATCCACATTGGAGTCTTATTTCACACTCTCCTTGCCTCCCCACTTCCCAAATGCAGTTAAGGGGAGCAACGCTCATACATTCAACCTATAAAGCATGCTGTATAGTCTGTCTCCTTTGCATGGCACAGATGCCCTACCTTAGCAGAACCATTTCTAGCATGCTTTTCTCCTGGTGCTAGGAGTGATCCTATTTCCTTTCCTCCTTTCCCCTCCCTTCTCATTTAAGGAGAATATTACACCTGCCTTCTTGCCTTTAATGGTTCATTTTCAATTTAAGCTCCAGAATGACCTCCAAGAAACCATGCTAATAATTGCATGAATGGGAGTTTCTGACACTACAGTACATGTGTGATGCTCTCTGTCATTAATCATTTTCTTAGAGTTGATGCTATGGACATGTCTAATATATTTACAGCAGCCTTCAACACCTTTTCACCCTCCACATGTTTTGGACCACAACTCCCATTGTCCCAGCAAGAGCCAAGCAACATCTAGAAGGCACTAGGATAAGGAATGCTGATTGGTGGCTATGGTGTACATTTGATTTTTATTCATTCAATTTATATTGCATAATAAGTAATAAAATACACAGAACAGCAAACTTACAATTATAAGCAACCAATAGCAACAAAAAACCATAAATAAAGTACCAAAGTTAAATCAAAATAATAAAACAAATAAATGAAATATATATTATTCCAGGCTCCAAAAATTAAAACATAAACCAATTAAATTTTAATTAATATCAATACCTAGCATAGAAAAGCACACCAGGCTTTGCAGGCTTCCTGAGATGACTTGTCTGCCAAGGAAACCCTCTGTCCGCCATGGAGCCCACGCCTGTTGCAGAAGATTCTGGGGGCACCTGCTCGGATGTACACTCGGTTTATATGGGAGACTGGCCAGGCTTGTTGGGTCAAGCTGGGTCACCCAGCTTGAGCTGAAAGTGTCCTCTAAAGCGTCCTCTACTAGCCCTGACACTAGTGTTGGTATCCCAGTGGCCTGCTTAATAAACTTTTGTTTTACATGGAGTTTAACAATCATATTTAAAAAAAAACTCTTCAATGCCAGCTTCACCATCAAAACTAGTGCTGCATTATGAAAAAACTGGGGCCTTAGGCCAGAGGTGGGTCCAATTAATCTGACCCCAGCATGCTCTTCTATGAAATCATCCTGGTCAATCTAGATCTGTTTAGAATCCAGCCTTGGTCAAGCCAATCTTCGTGTCTGTCAACAGGACCAAGAACAGATGCCCTGGTGGTTCTGCAACCTTTATGCAGTTCTCCACTGGTCTGTGGACCACAGTTTGGGAAGCTCTGATGCAGAAGATGCCTTAAATCTTTACTGTGGCTGTGTTGAAAGGCAAGAGAGGTAGGGGGGCAGCCTCTAACTCTAGCCCTGCCCAAGATCGTGGCTGGAAGCCATGAATCCAAAGGCTTGTGCACACTGGCATCCCAGCAGGAACATTGCAGAATGATGGACCCTGACAGTGCACCAGAACTGCTGCCCTGGAATTTCAGTTGACATTATTTGATGCAAGTGTAAATGTCAAGGATGAGTGAGAATATCCACTGCAGAGCAGGAATGAGTAGGCCATGTGCATCGGGGCAGGACTGATGTGGATTTAGTCTCGGAAAGTAGTATAATTAAATCCTGGAACTCATAAGTACAAAGCTGTGGAAGGTATGGCTTTATGGAATGAAAGAGGTTAGGACTTCACTCAGTGAGACCCGCTTCTGAATTAAAAAAAACTTAGAATCAGACTTCAGGTCTTTTTGAGCTCTTCTTGGTCCTTAAGAGTACAGTTTGTAATTCTGGAGTGACCTCACTGACAATATGAATAGCATTAATAGTAACACTTGTATTATTTTAACACTGCCTTTTAAACCATCGTGGAAGAATTGTACTTTACAAAATAAAGTAAAAACTAGACTTATTGATTTAGCTTCTTGCCAATATGTGTCTAGTCAAAATAAATCTCATTAAGTCTAAAACTCTTTTCCAGATAAATGAACATAGAATTGCAGCCAGAGTTAAAGTCTTGTTGCTTTCAGTGGGGAAGTATGCTTATGCAGACAATTTTTTGTTGAAATAAACAGGACTTGAAAGGGCTTAATTTTGTATTGTGCCTGTTCCTATCTATTAAACAAATAACGGTATTATGTAAAAAGATATACAAACTACCAAACTGAAGCTGGATTACTCTGCAGAAAGAGATTTGGAAAGTGCATTGAAAAATTACCCTCCATGTGCAACCATCTCTGCCAAAATTTGCAGCCAGTTTTCAGAAACTAGATTGATCCCTGTCCTTGGATGGTGCTACTATGGCTGCCATGATAGAATACCACCGGTGCAGTGGTGCATCTGAAAGTGGGGACCTATTTCACAAACATTTTCATCCCTTCAAGCGCACATAATTTTCATATTATTTGTTTATTTGCAACTCATCCCAATCCAGCTGGGGATGTGCATTCAAATGCGTATCTAGATATCCTGCTACATCCCTCTTCCGCCTCATCTGGTCCTGCACAGTTCTCATTGTCAGAACCAGCACAGAAGTTTTTGCAGAACAAAGCAACTTTAGGAAAATGGACAATAAAGGTACTTTGTGAATTAGCCCAGAAGCATAGGAACTGGGGGTGAATTCTTTCTTCTCATCCTCTACCACCTAGCAGATGAGGAGATAGGCTTAGGTGCTAAATGGCAGAATTAGTTTGGATTGGATTTTAATTTATATATTGCCTTTTCGCAATAACAATCATGTTCCAGGCAACCTACAATATGTAAAAGATAACAGAAATGCATTGAAATGCATATGGATTCTTTGCAGAAGAGCGTCAGCAAAATACACTTCATCATCAAAAGGCAATAATTAACTGAATTTGTTTCTTTTTTTAAAAAAAACTGAAGCTCAAAACGCTGGTGCGATATTAAAATCTAACCAAGCTAACTGAAAGTTAGCCCAGTAATGAGAATCTTCAGAAAACCAATAACTGGGTTTGGGAAACCACCTCTCATCCAAGTTGCCCCTTCCCCTCTCCCCAATCTCTCTTGGGGTAATCCGATGCTCCTCTCACCAGGTATGTTCTCAGGGTTAACCAGTTAGTGCTTCCTTGCCAGGACTAAATCCAATGTCTCCCTCAGCCTTTGCTCCATTACAGCCAGCCTGTCTCCTTCCCTCCTGTGCAGCTCCTTCCAGGATCAGCTTCCTTTGGATGACTTCTGGGACTGAGGCATGGATAAGGTAGGAGGAAGAGGAGGGCAGGCAGGCAGGTTGGCTATGGGGGCAACTTCCTCATGCACAGCAGAAACCAAAGACAAAAAGTTGCTTAAATGGAAGTGGGCAAGGCTGCAGTGGCTGTTATACTTTGGAAACAGCATGAGACTCACAGGAGAAGACCATCATGCTAGGGAAAGCCAAAGGCAAAAGCAGAAAAAGGAGACCAAATAAGAGATGGATTCACTTCATAAAGGATGCCACCACCTTGAAGGCTGCTTAGAGCAGCTAAGCAGGGATGTCATGGATGGGAAGGGTTGCCATAAGCTGGAGAGGACTTGGTGGCACATAACAAAAACAAAGCCTGCAGCCCTTACTTGCCTGGGGAGAGGCCTCATTTAATTCAGTGGAACTTAGTACTGGGTGGGCAGGCATGCAGGTGGTTGCACTGTCAGAAACCCAATCCACTTGTAATAACTTCTGTCACTCTCCTGATCCCTCCCAGCTGATCTCATGTCCTGCCATAAAAGCTCTGGCCATGTGCATCAAGGATGTTGTAACTTTACAGCACAGAAGATTTTCTACAGCCACTCACCCTTTTAGTTGCCATTTTCTGTGTCCTTCTTCCCAACCCTACAAAAGTCTCTTCTAGATGCAGCAATCAGAACTGTATTTAGTATTTTGAGTGTGGACACACCATTGCTTCATATAAAGGGAGTATGATGTTGGAAGTTTTATTTTCAGTTTTTTCCAATTATGCCTAACATGAACTTGCCTTTTTTATTCAGTACCTACCCAGTGAGTTGATGTTTTCATTGAGTTGTCCACCACACCCCAAGATCTCTTCTTTGGTCAGTCACTGCTGCCTCAGACCCCACCAGCTTATACTTGAAGTTAGAGGTTTTGCCTCAGTGTTCATCACTTTACAGTTGTTTGAACTGTCTTTGCCATTTTGATGCCCATTCTCTCAGTTTGGAAAGATCCTTTTGGATCACCCAATGCTTTGTTTTTGTTTTAACCATGCTAAATAATTTGGTTTCACTGGCAAATTTGGCCACTTCACTGCTCACATCTAATTCCAGATCATTTGTGAAAAAGTTGAAAGACATTGGTTCACATTTTTTTATTCATTTGGAGTTTTTGTATGCCATCCCATTCGCATAAGCCTCAGGACAGCTTCCATACAATAAACAAACATAAAATTAGTATATATAAAAATAGTATACATAAAATATTTTATATATAAAATAAAATGGTATACACATGCAGACCCCTTTGAAACCCCACTGTTTAAATCCTTCTATTAGGAGTATTTACCATTCATTCCTACTTTTGCTTTCTGTTCTTTACCAGTTATTGATCCATAAAAGAACCTCTTCATTTATTTCATGCCTGCTAAATTTGCTCTGGAGTCTTTAGTGAGAGACTTAGTGAAAAGCCATTAGAAGTCCAAGTAAACAAATCGACTAAATCACCTCTGCCTACATCCTTACTGATACACAAAGGCTTAGTTACTCTTGTGGAAACCATGCAGATTCTTTCTCAGCAAAAAGCCTTGTCCTTCTTGATGCTTACTAATTTTACCTTAGTAATGCATTCAGTCAGTTTGTATACAACATATGACAAGCTAACAGGACTGTAATTTTCCAGGTCATTCTAGAGCCTTAAACACACACACACACACACACACACACTCTCACTCACTCACTCACTCACTCACTCACTCTGATGTTACGCTGGCCTTTCTCCTGTGGCCTGGTAGAGTCTGGTCTTGGGGACAGTGCATCTTTCTGTTGGAGGACCAGCAATTTCATAAAATTCTGTTCATTAAGAACTTTAGGGTGACTACCATCTAGGTCTGATAATTTATTAAGTTTTGGTTTAGGGTTAGGGTGATATTAAGTTTATCAATAAGCTTGAGAATGTCATCTTTTGCCACCGTTATTTGCATGAGCTCCTTCGACTTTCTTCTTGGAAATTGCTGGCCTTAACTTTACTAGCAGTATGGCTCTCCCCTCACCTCCCTTTTACATCTCTTACTGTCTGCTTGCATCTCCTTTGTACACATGTGTGTTCCCTTTTGTTTCCGTCATTTGGGCAAGAATTCTATTTTCTGAAGAAGCTTCTTCTCTCTAATAGCTTCCTTGCCACTGCTAGTTAGCCATGCTGGTGACCTTCGGATTTGGTATTACTTTCCTAATTTGTATGGAGTACCTTCTAGCCGAGCTTCTATTAGAATGGTTTAAGGAACTGCCAAGCATTTTAAGTCTCTTTATTTGCCCTTTCAGCTTCCTTTTTATCAGATCCCTCATTTTAAAGAAGTGTCCTCCTTTGAAGTCAAATGTGCAGATTCCTTTTCAGTTTTTCACTTGAACAGATGTTATATCTGATAGCACTATGGTCACTGTTTTGAATTTGTTCAACAATATTTATGTTTTGTACTAGGTCCTAACATCATTAGGGTTAAATTCAGGTTCCCTTCTCATAATTGGCTGTCTGATCAGGCTCTTGGTGTGTTAACAAAATATTGTTGGCAGCATTTTTGTTTTATTTGAAATGTTTATATCACACCCTTCCAAAAGATTTTGCAATATATCAGAATAAAAATAAAATCAATAAATTGGAAGAAGCTTACATTGTAATTATGTAATTAATAAAAAGAGTACGTAAAAGCAGCTTAAAAACAACTCCAGAAGGAGAAAAACTGTTTACAGACTTGTAATAATAATAATAATGGTTTTGCCTGGTGCTGAAAATAACGAAAGAAGTGCCAAAGAAACCTTCCTGGTGACAGCCTTCTGCAGCTAACATAACACCATGCAGAAGGCCTTCTGTTGTGCTGCCATTGCTTCTAATTAGATAATAGACAGGGGGACTCTGAAGAGCATCATAATATATGGGCAGGCTGTTATGATCATTGAGAGCACGATGCTAATGGGTAGCTTTTAAACTAAACAAACAAACAAACAAACGGCAACCCCTCAGGATGGGTATCCCGGTTCCAAGGCATTTTGGCTGTCATTGTATTGGCTGTCATTGTATATTTTAACTTATTGGTTTTATTTATTTTTGTAAGCCGCCCCGAGGCTTCGGCGAATGGGGCGGCATAAAAATGTTGTTATAAATAAATAAATAAATAGTACTGCAGAGGCATCTGCTATGGGGCAACCATTATAAGGGTGCTATAGGACTACTCTTATGGGTTCAGGAAAGAAATAATGGGTCAATAACAGGAGCACACATGCTCCCCCAAAATGCAACGAATTCAGTGTTTCTGTGCTTGCTCTTAGAAAAGTGAGCAGGATTGCAGTTGAATTGTTTTTACAAGTGAAATAAGTTAAAATGAAAAGAGGGGAAGTAAATAAACAAAATACCTGGTGGTATACAAAATATCTGTGAATGCTGACTGAAAAGATGCTCTGTGAGAAACCAGAACATTTTGCAATGGCTCTCTTAAAAATTTAAGCCGTCAGTGTTCTTCTAATCCAAAGTAAATACCTCCTACCTCTGTACAGTCTATGGGTACAGCTTGTGCACAAGGAACATCAACATCTCCTGCTGTTGTAAGCAAGGCAACTGTGGTGTGAACTTTCGAGGGTGTCCCTCAGTTTGTCTCACTTCTATTCCAGCTTGAATTTTCATTGTTGTGAGCAATAACATTGCGGGGGAGAAAGACAGCCCTGTTCCTTTGAAGGTGGAATGGATTACAGTGTCCCTGGGGCAGTTATCAACGGAGAAGTACCTGCACAGCCTGTTGGGCAAAAGAAGAAGCAAAAAGAAGCAACAAATGAAACATTAGAGCGAGACCATTGGAACAACAAGCTGGAATATGTGCTGTCCGTGGCTGGGGAAATCATTGGTTTAGGGAATGTCTGGCGTTTCCCTTATCTCTGTTACAAGAATGGTGGTGGTAAGTGCAGCTCTTGTTCTAGCAAATGACATCCGTGTGTCAAACCTCTCCATGCGAAATTCTTTTCCTACTGATTCAAGAAGCACTTAAACACTCAGATTTGCACTCTACGATGTTAACCCCAGTGAAAGTGCACTCAGTGGCAGCTCTTTTCAGCCTGCAAAGTAGTTTGCAGTGTTTACACCATTTATCATCAAAATCTTGGCTGGGGAAAGAGGGAAGGATTGGAACAAGGTGACCCAGACAGCTTCCTACCCAAGCCCAGTGCTCTTTCCCCATCCCCACACAGTGGTTTTGATGCCCTGGAGGGACCCAAGACTCAGCCAGTTACTTGCACACTTTAGTCATGAGCATCAGTGTGAGCAGGTGGTGCATCCCTGTGATCTAAGGGTCAATCCACACATGAGGTAGGATCTCCCAACTTTGAAAAAATACTAATATTATAATGCACCTGTAAAGGTCTCTGGCTTTGTACTGATGCAGTGGGAGGTGAAAGTGGAAACTATTTTAAGACAGGGAAAATGGTGCTGGGGAAAGGGTTAAATAGCTCCCACCAAGCTCTTTTACAATTTCGCACTGGAGTGGGTACTTACACATCCAACCCCCAAAAGAGGACACCAGTTTCCACAACATTTCCCTGAGTAGGTTTTAAATATAGATGCAAGTTTAGCAATCATGGTTAAAATTTAGATCTACATATGAAGTTTTCCACCATAGCCACCAAAACTGTCTAAGTGAGCCATATACCTGCTCAGTTGGTTGTCCAGGTGCAGTTGATGGGTCTCTTCTAGGTTCCTGTTCTCACCCGTCTTCATTGTTTGCCTATAAACATCTTCCATCAGAGGATTGTTCTCTGTAAATAAGACATCTGGCCACCCTGGCTGGCCCTGAAGCCTATTTTGGGCCTGTAGCAGCAGATGGTGTGCAGCTTTGAACCACCAATTATATTTTCCACAGTGCCCCAGTGCATCTAATGTAGAGTTGTTCTGGAAAATCCTGGGCAATTTGAAATGGTGGCTTATACCTGCTTGTGGCCATTGCCAGGTAAGTCCTCTGCTGGAAGGCTCTGAGGCAGAATCGGGCTGTGAAGGGCACCACCCCCTCAGTCCTGGCATGTGCATACTGCTCTTTTCTATGAAGTTGTGTTCGGGGCCAAGATGCATCCTGAATCAAGCAGATGTTTGAAATCACATGCTTAAAAGCCTCTCTGAGGGCTTTCCGAGCCAGACTGGGACCATGGCACATGTGAGGGAAGTTCACCCTTTGTCCATGTGCCATTTTCCCACAGAAAACCACCTTTCTCCCAAAGCTGCACCAAATAGTTTCAGGAGCAATCTCCCTGCTTTGGAAGTTGGGATGTTCAATTGGAGGAAATGTGAACTTCCTGTTCACCATGGTCTGATCCCCAGCTGTGCTAGCAAAGAAGCTATTTCCTTCTTAAATATGGAACCTGGCCTTTAGGGTTAGATACAGAGCAAAATTATGTGTGTTCAAACCATTCCTTCAGTCTACTGATTACCATGATACACAGCCTAATTTTATTTTTCTACAAGCAGATTGAGTCGGTTGTCCTGTATTTAAACTGTTTTATTCCCAACTGCCCTTTGCTTTAAATGTCAGCCATCGAGAAGTACTGGAGTATGTTGTGGTAGTGGGAAACCAGCATGTAGGCTGAAAGTAGACTTTGGGACCACATGATAACATCTGAGCAATTTGGCTGCCTTATTGTAGAACTAGCATGTTTTAAATGCAATGTTCATGTCCTACTGCTTAAATGAATTTGCGAGACAGTTAGGTGGCATGAATGTGCAACTTTTTACGGAAGGAGAGGGAGAAATAGGTTTCTCTATTATGAATTTTGCCTGCTGGGAATACATTTACTTCCTAGAATAAATAAAAACACTTAGCATTTGTATATTGCACCAGATGTTCAAAGTGCTTCACCAAGCATGAAACTATTGATAAGCTGTAATTGGGTACATTCGCTTCTATGGCTCCTGGCATGAATGAAGACACTGACTTCCTCTTTCACTATAGGTGTTTAATCAGCAGTGCGTATTTAAGATGATTACCATAAAGAGTCCTAAAGTGCACATTTAGACATAACTGTGATTTAAATAGGAATACAATAAATGCTGAAGGCATCTCAACATAGTGGAGAAGACAGACCCAAGTGATCTGTGGTCCTGCTGAGTTTGCTACTCTCCAGCAATTAACTGTTGATGGGCATCGTTTAGGGGAAAAGGGAAATGAGCCCTTAGAAGGGACTCATTCTTGGGAAGACAAGCAATTATCTGCTTGCACTGAGGATGTACCTCTGGAGCAAGTGGCTTGTGGTAGTGGGCAATTCAATCTTTCAAGACATAGACAGCCGGGTTTGCTATGGGTATGTAGACTGCATGTAAATTGTCTGCCTGGTGCAAATGTTTGGACAAGACATGTTACTTAGCCTTGTAGATAGTGTTTGGGTAGAGTCATTTGTCATGGTCATGCTGGTATAAAATAGGGAAATGTAGCCATGAGGTCCAAATTTAGGTAGCTGGTAGACAGCTAAAATCCAGGATGGCCAAGGTGACTTTCCCTGCAATGCTACCTGTTCAGCCTTCAGGGCCAGCAAGACAAGTGCAGCTAAGGAATAATATGTGGATGAGATGGTGGTGCAGAGAGGAGGGGTTCAGCTTTGTTAGGCACTGGGGAACATTTGAGGACAAGACAGGCTTGCCCAGGAGAGATGGCTCCACTTGAACCAAAATGGAACCAGGCTGCTGGTGCATAACATACAAGCAGGAGCAGAGCAGCTTTTAAACTCAACCCTGGCAGGAAACTGACTGCACTCGAGAACAGTTGGTCATGGAACCAACCAGAGGGGAGGTAATCCTGGATTTAAATCCTAGGTGGTACCCAAGACCTAGGAAGAGAAGTAAATGATGTTGAACTTACTAGAAATACTGACCATAGTGCAATCAGAGTTAATACACATTTAGCAGGAAGATTGCCAAAGAGATTCACCACAGTCATATTTGGGTTCTCTAAAATGAGAGAACTGGTAAGAAGAAAGTTGATAGGGAGAGTGAACCGGGTCCAATTCCTTCCAAATGCTTGCAGTTTTCTTAAAACCACAATAATAGAAGCTCAGATAGTATGTATACCACAAGTTAGGAAAGGTAGCATGAGGTTACTCACATGGTTTTTTCAACCTTATTGAAAAACTGAAACTCAATGACTCACCCTGCTCAGATGATATCCATCCTAGAGCTATATGAAATAGCTGAAATAGCATATAAAATATGGAACATGCCCCTAAGATCAGCCTCTGTATGAGAAGAATGTCCAATATAATACTAATTTTTAAAAGGGGATCCAGGAAATTACAGGCCAACCAAAGAAAAGAAGGGCAACCAAAATGGTGAAGCTGCTGGAGCAACTCCCCTGTGAGGGACAGTTACAACATCTGATACTATTTCAATTAGGAAAAATGCAAGTAAAGGGAGACAGGAAAGAGAAGTTCAAATTATGCATGGTGTGGAGAAAGTGGTTGAAAGTGACATTTTTTTCTCCATCTCCTGGATCATCTCATGAAACTGATTGGTGGGAGATTTGGGACTGATAAAAGGAAGTACTTCTTCACACAGCACATTGTTAAACTACGGAATTCACTGCCACAGGAAGTAGTGATGGCCACCAGTTTGGATGGATTTCAAAGGAGATTAGAGAAATTCATGGTGGCGGTGGTGGTGGTGGAGGTGGAGGCTAAGGCTACCAATGGCTACTAGTCTTGATGGCTTTATGCTCCCTTTAGTATCAGAGGCAGAATGTTATGAACACCAGTTGCCGGACAGCTTGGGCAGGAGGGGCAGCTGATGTACTCATACCCTGCTTGAGGGAACCTGTGGGCAGCTAGTTGGCCAGCGGATGAACAGAATGCTGGACTGGCTAGGCCCTTGGTCTAATGAAGCATGGCCTTTCTTATGTTCTGGCAACATAACACAGGCTTTTGTCACTACTTGTATGCTTTCCTGTCCAGTGTAACTAAGCATTGTTACTGGGGGAAATTCCTACTGGGTTCTATGACAATTACTCCCTTGTAAGTATGCTTAGCATTGCAGACTTAGCTATACTTTTAGAATAGGCTCTGCTAGTCAGTTTTACTGATAGTAGATACAAGAGATGGAGGAATTATTCTTTTTGAGAAATGGTCACAAAGAAAGAAATGTGCTGTGAATGGTATTTTGGATTATCATAAAAATGTACACCTGGCTTTTTACCTTACACTGATGAAGTATGCTTGCTTAGTCCTGGCTCTGGTTATTGGATCAGATGTCTTCTGACACGTGTAATCTTGACTACCATCCAGTAGCCACTTTAAAAGTATTGAGTACTTGCTCTTTTGTAGAATTTGACAACACCTGCTGTTTACTCATGTCAGAGTTTGCTATTCAATCACCCATGGTCTGCTTTAAACCAGACCTGTCCTGGATGGCCCATCAAACTTATCTTTTCCCGCCATAGCACAGTTGGAGCACCCTTCACATGCAGCCAGAATGCTAAAACTAAGGAATGCAAATTGGCAACAACCTAAGTGCTGGTGATGCCATAGGTATACTCCCATAAGTGTCCATATCATGAGTGAACCTATTTTCCACAAAGCAAATTATGTTAGGACAAAAATATCAGTATACCACCAGCTGATAGACTTTGGCATGGTAGTAAACAACCTTTTCCTCTAATCAGAGGTACTCCCTGAGGAACCTGGGAACAATTTATGTGGGTTGGAGAGAGCTGCCAGCGGTCTTCTTCTTGCCTCTGCAGGACCAAAGAACCACACGTTCTCAAACAATTTGATATAAAAAATATAATGTTAAGGAAATGTATTTATCCCAGGCTGTGCTTTTGTCACTGGTGAGATAAGTTGTAGTTGTGAGATACAGGTGTTCACCTCAACCAGTTATTTTGAAGTCAAAATTACAGTAATTGTCTTCAATAGGATTTTAAATCAAAAG